TTCAATCTATATTTCCAAATGGACAACTAGTTATCCTACTATCACTTACTGATTTATTTTGTCTGAAAATGAGAACCTGAATATCTGCTGAAATTCTAGGTCTACTTGGTTTTGTTGCTAAACTCATTTTTCAAAAGTACCATGTTATTTTTTAGTCTGTTCTGCCATTGACTGATAATATTATATTATGTGTGAATTCCCCATTACATTTTCAAAAGAATTTGTGTGTGTTTGTGCGTGTGTGTGTGTATGTGTGGCGGGTGGGGAGTAGAGGGGAGATGGCCATATCCCTAGTGCTCTGATATTACTTTTGGCTCTGTTCTCAGGGATCGCTCCTAGAGGGACTCAGGAAACCATAATGTGGTACCCCAGGTATTAAAATGGGGCTGTTAGAATTTAAGGCAAGCACCTTACCCACTGTACTTTTTCTCTGGCTTTCCAGTAGAGAATTACTTGTATTGTATCTTGCAAATATCATTTGACACAGAAGCCCATCACTGTTATATATCATCTAGATTTCGTTTTCTACTTACACTAAATAACAAACTCATTCTCACTTGATTTTTCTTGATTTTCTAAAATTTGTACTACATATGCTGGTTTTTATGTTTTCTGTTATCAGTCTATACTATAGCTTTGTAACTAAATCATGAATTACAAAGTTGCATTGTTGTTTACAATTGAGTTTTAGCTTACAATGTTCCACAACGCTAGTCCCTTCACCAATGTTCACTTCATTCCACTAGTCTCTGCAGTGACTCTCCTGCCTCCCAGTCTGCCTCTACAGCAGGCAATTTTTCTTTTTTAGACATTTCTTTTAGGCATTGGATTCACAACACCATTACTGATAGAGTATCATGCATATCCCTTTATCTCCTTTCAGTACCCCGTCTTCTTTCAGACTACATCCTTCTATCATTGTCATAGTGATCCCTTCACCGACCTATCATTTCTTCCCACAGAGGACTAATTTTCCTGCTTTTTGTTTCTATTGTCATTGGGCAGTAATTATTCTTTATATTCTTATATTTATATTTGTATTCTTTATTTATATTTGTATTCTTTATAATACAATATATATTTATATTTGTATTTGTATTCTTTATACAAATACAAATAAAGAATACTAATATATTTATATTTGTATTCTTTATATTCTTTATATTCTATTATGTTTCTTTATATCCCACTTATTAGTCTGATTCATTTCACTCGGCATTAGACTCTACAGATCCATCCATATATCAGCAAATCACATGACTTCATCTTTTCTGATGGCTAATAGTCTTCTACTGTCTATACATACCATAGCTACTCTATCCAGTCATCTGTTCTTGGCCAGTTGGAGAGAACTGATAAACAGAAACTTCCTTGAAGAAGAAAACCAAATGGCCAAAAGGCATATGAAAAAGTGCTCTAAATCACAAATAATAAGAAAAACTGCAAATCCAAATAACAACAAGATATTATCACATACCAGAGAGATTGGCACTCATCACAAAGCATAAAAGCAACCAGTATTGCCATGGATGGGAAGGAAAAAGGGATCCTCATTCACTGCTGAAGGGAATGTCATATGGCCCCTTTGAGGAAGACAATATGAGAATTCCTCAAAAAACTAGAAATTGGTCTTTCATCTGACCTGGCAATTTTGCTGGTTGAAAATATACCCCAAGGACCCAGACTCACAATGCAGAAAAGACATCTGCATTCCTATGTTCATTGTAGCACTATTCACAATAGCCAAAATCTGGAAACATCCCAAGTGCCTAATATACCTTTTTTAGCCTTGTATTTTAGGTCTTTACTATTTTATTTTAATTAATTTAACCTCAAGGGTTTTCATACTTAATAATATGACAAAATTATATTTACTGTCTTGTTTGACTATGTTAAATCATTTTTATCTATTTTCTTTTTATTTTACTGCAACTTCTTTCTTTATTATGATTTACTGGCATAATTTTACATAGTTCTGGGGAAGCTGAGAAAGCAACATATTTTGCTTTAAACTTATTATGGTTGAATTTTGTTATTACTACAGAAAATTTAGATACTCTTAAAGTCAAAATATTGTTAAATTTCATGGAAGAGTATGATATTTTTGTTTCTGGTGACTTTTTTTTAAAGTACATGACCTTCCCTGTTCTCCATCATAATCTTTGCTTGTTAGACTCTAAAATTAATATTTTATGTTTCTTCTGTTCATATCATACTTCCTTTTTCTTCTTCTTTAAAACATTTTATAAAATGAAACATATTGAAAAGCAAACAAAATACAAATACGTAGCTTCTGGTTCAGAGTTATAACTCAGCTTTTAAGTGTGTGCCAGTAACATGAATGTGTCTGGGTTAAATCCCTGGAACTGCAAATATTTATATTCATTAGTATCTGCAGTTACATTAAATTACCAAAAGCAAATATAACTACTTCAGCTATACCTTATTTCGTTGTATTCCACTTTATCAGGCTTTGTATATACTTAATATTGGTGTTTTGTGATACTGGGGATTAAGTCCAGGACCTCCTGTATACAAAGCAAGTGTTCTACTTCTGAACTACATCCTTGAAAGTGGGGTATTCTGAAAAGCAATCTGAAAAATATTCTGAAAGTATTCTCCATTTCATGTCCTATTAGGACAGGTCAATGGTGGAAAGCTTGCCACAAGAGTATAGGATGGTGAAGGGCACACTTAAGGGGATATCCCTGATAACCTTTCATTATCTGTATGGCAGCCATAAGACCCAAAAGGACAGAGAGAGAGAAAGAGAGAGAGAGAGAGAGGAGAGGGAGAGGAAGAAAGAGAAAGGGAGGGAGGGAGAGAGCCGAGGAGAGAGGAGATGGGAGAGAGAATAGAGGGAGGGAGAGGGAGGGAGAGGAAGACAGACAAAGGAGAGGGAGGGAAGGAGAGAGAGAGAAAGATATATATATATATATATAGAGAGAGAGAGAGAGAGAGAGAGTGCCTGGCATAGAGGCAGGTGATGGATTGGGGTGGGGATGGGTGGGAGGGTAACTGGGACCATTGGTGGTGAGAAAAGTATACTAGTGAAGGGATGCGTATTGTAACATTATATGAGTGAAATACAATCATGAACATCTTTGTAAATGTGTATATCACTTTGATTACAAATCAAAGTGATATAAAATTAAAAAAATAAGTTAAGAAAACATCTGAAATTCATGAGAGTGGTAAAATTACTAATATTAAAGAAATATCATAAATATAATTCCCAAGAAGTTAATTCTAAATCTCATGCATGAGTGTGAGGATTCAACACTACAAAAGATGAGGTCACTATAGGTATGGTGGAAAAAACAAGAAAACAAGAATACAGCCAAAGATGGATGGACTTACTTGCAGCAATCTCATGATAGAACTTTAATGGCTAAGGAGTTCCTGCTTATAAATTTCTCAAGAAAGTTAAGGGCTAGAGAGATAATTTAATGGCTTTGAATGCAAATAATTTATAGAAATTATTTAAAAGTTATAACACATTTTTTGTTATCCAGTACATTATTTTTATTTTTTAGTTTAAAAATATTATTTAAATTTAGACAAAAGCAACAACTGTTGATACAATTTTAGTGTTGAAATGGATCAATTCAGTAAAATTTTTAAATTTGTTTTTTCTCAGGTGTCGAGAAATTGGGATCCCAAGTTGTGTTTGGGAATTAAAATTATTCAAAGTTCCAAAAGGCTGAACAACTGCTGATTTATTCTTCTTGAAAAGGTACATACCTTCGGAGTTTTAACATGAAACACAGAGGGCTGATCAGCACCCCTTGCTATTCATAGCAGTATCAGTCCCTTCAGACATCTTTTGTAGAGCCAGTAAAAGAGCTAACATCAAAACAGTTTCAAATTCAGGGACCATATATCTAAATACATGCATTTGCCTTGAGAATTTAGCCCAGCAATTCTCCACAACCTTATTATTCCTCTGATGCTTCAAAACACACTAGTAATTTTTGTCTAGACTGTCAATTTATCAGTAAGAATAATGGCCTAAAATACTCAAACTTTAGTTATTTAGAAAGAGTTTCTCTTCTGTCATTTTAAAACATGTAATATGATCCTCAGTGGTAAAAGCAAACACTTAAGTCGATTTATAATTTATTTTGGAATAATTATTTTGTCTTCATACATTTAATGAGCTTCTTATTGCACTGTTCTTTCCAGTTGTGTCTTCACAGTTATTCATTCTATATATATGTATACATATATGTGTACATGTATATATGTGACAAGACTATGTATAATGTATGTATATATACATGTATAGATGTATAGATTTTCACATTATTATTGAGGAAAAACTCTTTAATTCTTTAATGAATAATAACCTAATGAAATGTGGCAACTGTCATTTGGAATTCTGTAAATACTACTCCATTATTTCCCTACTATTTGGAATAATAGAAGTATAGTTATTTTAATTTTGGTAATTTTATTGGTAATATTATTCCACTATCCTATATGATTTTAAGTTCCTTATTGTCGATCTGTAGATATTTTATGAGACAGCCCTCTCATTTGTGTCTTTTTTTGGTACCCTACAAATTCAGGGTGTATTCTGGTGGTTTTAGTAGAAGAGAATTGGTTTCCATTCAGAAAACATTTTTTCTATTATTTTTCAAAAGTTAGATTCAGTGGCGCATAAAATCTCTCTTCTTGGTATTCCAAGTTTACGTAAATTAATCTCCCAGTTAAGTTCTCTACATGTCACATGTTCATTCCCATTAATACATCCTTCATTTCAGTAGTTGGAAACCCAGTATCCCAAAGAGCACAGGGAGTTAACAACAATAAATCACACCAGTGTGGTAAAAAATAATGAGTGGCAAGAACCGGGGATAAAGAGCCCTTTAAATGTGGCAGCTACCAGTCTAAAGGCATTTTACAGTAGTAAAAGATTATCATAGTCCATTTCTACAGCAGCTACTAATTGTAATATTCCTCTGCAGGAAAATCTAGAAAAAGGTGTCACAGCTTACCATTGGAATGATCTTGGTCAGGAGCAGAGTGATCTGGATCTGTTGCTTCATTGTCTTTTGTAATATTGACATCCTTTGGAGAACCTAATTACAAAGAACCAAAAGTTCTAATCAGCATTTCTAACTAAGAAATAGAATAATTTTCTGTGTCTCCATGCAACACCTATGTTTGTGGGAGAGAATTTACTGTCTGAAAATTCTCATGATTAACAAAATATCACTGACATACTCATATATATATGTATATTTTATCAATATGAGGTTTTTAAACATTCCTTTATACAATAGTGGCACAAAATTTACAGAGGTGAAAATGATAGAAGTTTGGTTAGGGTGTATTTTTGCAACAACAAGAAAAAAAATATAAGCAGGTTTTGTGCATCACCGAGAACCTTGAGAGAACTGCACAGAGGGATATGAAAGGAAAGAAAAATACGAAAGATTAAAGGAATGTTTAGTTTTAATGTTCTTAATGCTACCATTACCGCAGCTGTTCGAATATGAGTTCCTCAAGTCCTTGAAAAACCCACATGTAGTTTTGAAATCCAGTAATAACTAAGTTCATCCTCCTCAGAAACTTTACCATTAGAAAACATTAGCAAAAGGGGAAAGCAAAACCTGTTTATGATTTTAACTTCTCTCTGAATAACACATTTAAATGTAGAATCAGTGTGAGTTTATAATTTTTGTTATATGATAAGGAATTATATGGATAAATGATTTCCTATGACTGAACTCACAAAACAATAAAGGGGTCCCCATTTTAGAATCTTTGCAGTATCTTTGAAATCTCTTTAAAAAAGATACTGCAAAGAGTATGTAAATGAGTCAGTAGGAAGATAAAAAAAAGATATTATTTCCATCAAGACTATTAACAGATCATTTTATGTGTAACAGTGTTTCTTGATATCAATAATAAACAGACCATCCAATTTTTGCCCTCATAGATGTTATAATTCTAGTGAATATTTTTTTTATTCAGTTAAAAGGTCACTGTCCTCCCGTTGTTCATCAATTTGCTCGAGCGGGCCCAGTAACGTCTCCATTGGAGACTTTGTTGTTACTGTGTTTGAGGTAGTGATTCAAAGATACCCAAAACTCGTGATATAATTTTGTATGTATATGAGTGACACTGTAGCATATTGAGGATCATTAGATTGAAAGCCCTAGTTACCTGCAATGATTTTTATATGGAATTATTAGCTTTTAATTATTAACTCCCTATCAGAGTAGAATAAGATGGAGTCTACACTAAATCATTCTTTGGTTTCTTTAACTTTTCTCCCTCACAAAGATGATATATATGACAGGATCCTGTGACTGAAATCTTCATGCTTTCATGTAGACAGGATGGGTGATCCCTCCATCTCCCTGTACTTCGGGAAGCCCTGGTAGGAATATCCACACCCCAAAGTCAACGTCCAGTTAAAAATTTAATTCCTGCTGTACCTCTCAATTAAATATTCTGAATTTTTTCTGGAGTGCCAGCCACATTTTCTGCCCTTATCTCCAAACTCTGCAACACCGATAATCCAGTAGAACTATATCAGATGGGATGGAATGGAATGTAGAAGTCAACAATCTCAACTAACAAAAATATTCCTCAGAAGGCTTAATTTGTAACAATATCCTAGTAATCCCTCTTATAATGACTTAATGTGTCCATGGTGAGATACAACAATTTGCACTAATTTTCTTCTAAGGAAATACTTTTTGATCATTCTGATAACAAGACATATTAAATCAACTATTGTGGGGCTGCTACGAGGGGAGGCTTGAGGAGTAGTTGTGAAAATTTTAGACAGTGGCATAAGGAAGGTGATAGTGGTGGAGAAATTGGTGTTGGAATATTGAATGCCTATAACAATTCATCATGAATAACTCTGTGAACCATGACATTTAAATAACGTGTAGGAGAAAAATAACTTTAACATATGTCGGCCTTACCTATTTTATGTAAACTCCAAAATATATTAGCACTGAATTTTTAAAAATTTATATTAAGGACAGGTAAGACATGGTTATTACTACAATGTGACTCAAGTAGCACTGTATCACTGTCGTCCTGTTGTTCATCGATTTACTCAAGTGGGCACCAGTAAGGTTCCTGTTGCATGCTAATGTAGCCCAATGGTGTCTGCTCGCTCCAGGAATACGAATACTTGTTGTTACTGTTTTTGGCACATCGAATATGCCACGGGAGCTTGCCAGGCTCTGCCATACGGGTGGGATACTCTCGGTAGCTTGCTGGGCTCAATGAGAGGGACGGGGGAATCGAACCCAGGTCAGCAGCATGCAAGGCTATCCTACCTGCTGTGCTATTGCTCCAGCTCATGTGATTCAAGTATTAAAGTTTAATGCAATTTATTTTAGATTCCAGAATTCAAAACTTACTTATGCAATGAAGAATAGGCATTTTATTGTATTGTTTTAAATGGTTTTAGTTTCCTTATTTACATAGGTTAAAATCATAAAAAAATCACTAATTGACTTTAGCTGATTTATTTTCTGGTCATTCTATTTGCATTTCTTTAAGTTTTGTTGGAGCAAGTAATACAAAGTAAATTTGTTATATGATTTAGGAGGGAGTGATAGCACAGTGAGTAGGGCATTTGCTTTGCACGTGGCCGACCCGGGTTCGATTCTTCTGTCCCTCTCGGAAAGCCTGGCAAGCTACAGAGAGTATCCCCCCCACACAGCAGAACCTGGCAAGCTCCCTGTGGCATATTCAATATGCAAAAAAGAGTAACAACAAGTCTCAAAATGGAGACGTTACTGGGCCTGCTCGAGCAAATTGATGAACAATGGGAGGACAGTGCTACAGTACTATAGACTAAGGAGACAAGTTAGGAGGGAAACAAGACATTGGTGGAGGGAAGGTCATATTAGTGGTGTTGGAACACTAAATGTCTGAGACAACCATATTAATAAACAATTTTGAATAACAGTGTTTTAATAATTTTTTAAGTGGAAGACAGCTTTAAGTAATATGGTAGCAATATGAGAATGCTTGTTTCTGGAACCTGCCATAAGCAACATTTGATGGACAAGTAAGAAACCTGGGTGGTTAACATATGATTCAAATTTAATAACCAGTGAAGCAAGCATAGACCCAAAGTGTATGGTTTTAATTAGCTGCAAATAATTCCCCTTAGGCAAATGTTTAATTATCTTGCACAGCCTTTATTTTGTTTTGAGACTGGCAATAATTTTAAAAGTATAAATTTAGAAGCAAAACTGAACATAAACACATTCCCAAACTGTTATCTCACCCATGTCAACTTGTTTCAAACCATCTCCCTTTAAAATATGTCTTTCTAATTTTGAATCTGATATGTTGATTTAAAAAACCAATCAGATAAGTTTAGCCATGTTAATATTGAAAATAATGACTGAAAAGATACAATATGGATCATACCAGATTTTAGTTTAAATTTTTTTTGTCTAAAGAAGAGAGCATAAATTTAGTTTGTGGTTTCTGAATATTCTAATAGAATATATTACATTATATATGTTATATTGTCATATATAACATATATAATGTACTATATTATAGTTATATAAGATTTTGCATGCAGTGAATATTTATTAATCTAAACTTAATAATAGTTCATTTATTTTTTTAACTTATGTAAACTGTTTCACAAAATAAATTTATAAAAATACGTTAAAAGTGATTTACGGGGCTGGAGCAATAGCACAGCGTGTAGGGCATTTGCCTTGCACGCAGACAACCCAGGTTCGATTCCCAGCATACCATATGGTCCCCTGAGCACCGCCAGGAGTAATTCCTGAGTGCAAAGCCAGGAATAACCCCTGAGCATTGCCAGATGTGACCCAAAAAGCCAAGAAAAAAGTTATTTACATCTAGTATATGTTTATGCTCTAATGATTTACCTGACAGGGTTAAAGTATTTGAAAAATCAATTACTAGCCTTTATCTGTTTTAGCACCAAAAATGTGTGCTTAAATAAATTAATTGACAATTCATCTTTCATTTTCTTTGAAAAATATCTTTAAGATAGCCCATACATTTTCCAGTTTTGTTAGTATACACAATGTATTACTTCAATCCAAGAAAATGTCCTTCATTGTTACTGTACTTTTACATAGGTTTAGGGGGAACAATCACTTGAAGAACTATTCATAATAGCTAAAATCTAGAAACAAGTCAAGTGTCAGAGATCAGATGACTGGATAAAGATGAACGGATAAAGAGATCATGGTACATCTATACAAAGGAAAACTACTCATCTATAAGAAAAGATCAAATCACGCAATTGTTTGCTATATAGCTGAATTTGGAGAGTATCCTTCTGTGTGAAGTAAATCAGAAGAAGGACAGACACAACATGATTAATCTCCTATGTGGGCTATAAAGAAATATGGTAGGGGAATAACAAATGCCCAAAGGCAATAGAAGCTGAGAACTGGTCTTCAGCATGGGGGGGACGGGATGTCTAAAGAGGAATGGGATGGGGTCGGGGGCCACTGGGATAATAGTGTAGGGAAGAAGACACTCTGGAGGAGAGTCTGTGCTAGAGTGATTATACAAGCATTCTTACCATTAACAGTGTTGTAAACTGCAATGTCTAAAATAAAATAAAATTTTAAATCATTTTAAAGGACTATAACATACCAATCAGATAGGTGTTCCTATAGATATAACTGCTGCTATATTTAAACCTGTAAAATTGATTTGTGTGTTTTGCTTTTTTTAAGTTTTGAGAAGTTGAAAATTTGCTTAAGTTTATTAAGACTGTACTCAGTCAATAAAGTCTGGATGGTGACAGCAAACCCAGTTTTATTTCATTTGGAAAAAAGCTATTATGGTTTGATTAAAAAATAGAAAAAAAAATTTCGAATTCTTCCAATTGAAACATATTGATTGCCATTTCACACTGTTCTGATAATAGGAATAAAAGAAATATAGTGTATCTTAGAAAAATGATGTTTGACTATATTCAATATCTATACAGATACATGTATTTTGATGATGATGATTTCTAGGAAAAAAAACCCATAACTAAAACTAGAAGTTCATTTTGTCTGATATGTAAGCCTGTTTTTCAGAAATGATTCCA